TATTGTTGAAGGCAATATATGCAGGCATAGTACTTACTCCTGAGTGACTGTCTCAACTCGGGTCCCTCCTAGCTTTACTGAGCATCGCGGAGCCATTCTCTTGCCTCCTTTGATCATGTTGCACATGTAATGAGCAGTTTTAATATCTATGCTAATATTGCCTGCTGCCTCAGCCTTCTAAGCTTGACATGAGCCCCTGTGGCAGCAAAGGAATTGTTATCTAAATTAAACTGTATCAGCTTTGATTGAAAAGGAAGGCAATTTTATTAACCAGTCACTTGTGGGAACATGTCATAAGCTAGCCCAGGTTTGACTAGATGTCACAGGAGCCCGGTATCTCTTGATAGATGTCAAGTTCAGATGCTTCAGATAAAGTACCCCTTCTCCCTCTATAAACTTTTTAACATGGCTGATGGTTGCCCAGACTATGTAATGGAGGTTAGCTTTATCTACTTAAGAATGTTGCAGATCAGTCATGGAAATTAAGGAAGTTGTAGCCCATAGCCTTGAGTCTTTATTCCAAGGGGGCTGCCACACCCCTGGGAGACTGCCTGCTTTCTACACTATTTACAACAACAACAACAACAACAACAACAACAACAACAACAACAATTTATTTATACCCTGCCCATCTGGCTGGGTTTCCCCAGACACTCTGGGAGGCTTCCAACAAAATATTAAAATACAGTAGTCTATCAAACAGTTGACATAATGCCTAAGTAACTATGCACAAATTTTTAGCTTTAATCTGGGACAGAGCATCCCAAATGCCCTTTTCCTCTAGGAACTACTTAAGATGATGCACTGCTTTCCACAACCTTAGGTGCCATTAGACATCATCACTCCACAACTCATCCTTATCACAGTCTTACTTGCATAACTAGCAACCAAAATGACTTCTGTTAAGGAAAGACAAAATTCAGATGTTCTGAAATAGCATTTCTGGAGGAACCAGAGGGCAGAGAACTCAACACAACGATGTTGAGTGGGAAGATCTGAAGAGGGATTGTGGGTATGTTTGGCTGAACATGGGCAGAGCCCAGGTGGGACCTCTTGTTACAATTCCTTTCAGAGCTTCCTGCTCCACATGGGAAGTTGAGGGGAGACGGGACAGAGTGCATAGCCCCACAGCCCCTTCACAGACATAATTTCAGAGCACATGAACAGGGCTGCCATGCTGGAAGCAACCAACAAGAATGAATGTTGGCATAGAAAATAAGCATCTGCCAGCACAGCTATCCTATACACACACCCCACCACTTGGTAGTCAATCTGATGGTTACTTTGAAAAAGAAAGAAAGAAGGAAAGAAGAAAGAAAAACCCTGCTTATTTCCTATTCCTTTGATGAGTTTCTGTCTGCCGACTTTCCACTAATGCACATGAAAAATGCTTTCTGTAATTTTCCTTTTGTCCCCACACAAGAAGCCACTTATCTGTCTTTATCAAGTTGATAGTGTTTGGTTGCAGAAGCTCTAGCCAGGTCCAAATCTGGAATTTAAAGTTCATACTTCTGCCTATCTCTCTCTAATCTCCACTCTTCTTCTCTCCTTTCTGTACCATCAGAAATCAATTTGCTGACTGATGATTGCTTGGGCAGAGTAGAGTTCCTGCCCCTACTTCTTCCTGCTGGGTGTTGAATCCACTTGTCAGAGCCAGTAATTGGATATGTTCATGTTCTCCTCTTCTGCAATGATGGAAGGGGGAAGCTTGCCAAACCCTTTGTTCTCCTGCTAATCTCTGCTGTGAGTTGGAATAGGGAATAAACAAGAGTCAAAACTTTATTCTGGCCTCAAACAATTGAGCAATGCTGAGCTTGTTTGGGTTGCCTTTCACAATTAATATAAATTATAATTAACATTCAAAACCCTGCTCCTCCTTCAAAGGAGTACAAGGTGAGAAGGTATCCCTTGTCACAACTTCATGAGGTAGAGTGTGGCATGTCAAGTAAGTATTTGAACCCAGATCTTCCAAATCCAGTAGTCTGACCATTGTACCACATGGGTTCTAAAATATCATGGGCTCTCCTAGACTCTCACATCTTCAGTTAGGGCTAACAGAAGGAACCTCCTCCCTGCAAAAATTATTCTACCTATTTCTAGATATCCATTTCACAGTTCACATCATCTGCCTCACTGCCATTGTTACTACTTTCATGACTGTGGGAATGAACTTGCCCACAACAAAGTTCTCCCCAAAATTCTCTTCTATGGTGATTATGTCAAATATTCTTTGAACATGTGGGAATGTCCATTCAAATAAATATGGCATCTGATAATACTGAATTTCAATATATGCTGCTTGAACGTGTTTGATAGTTGAAAAGCAATAATATTTGTTCAGCAGTTTTTGATCATGGATGTACAATAGTATTTGACATTGCTTGTTATCTGGCAGAATATACTTCTGAGTGTTTTTTTATAGTTGGCATCTTATGGTGTTGATTTATTGTTTTACAATTGATGGAGGGTAATCAGTGAATACACAGTGTTTCCGTGTGCTGCTCTGGTTCACCAGAAGCGGCTTAGTCATGCTGGCCACATCACCCAGAAGCTATCTGAGGACAAATGATGGCTCCCTCAGCCTATAGAGTGAGATGAGCGCACAACCCCAGAGCCAGTCACGACTGGACCTAATGGTCAGGGGTCCCTTTACCTTTACCTTTAATCGGTGAATAGCTCAACAGCTATATTGTTAAATGTAACTGTGGATGATCTAATTCTGCCGTCAGACACTAAACCTTTCCACCAAAGAATATTTGTGTAACAAGAGACATCATTCTTACAGCATAATTCAAGGTGCTCATTATACAATCCCTAAATGTTTTAGGCCCAACATGCTGTAGAGATCACTTCATCCCATTAAACCCTCTAAGATCCACTGCTATCTTAATTATGCCATTTGCATGTCAAGTTAAAGGAAGACTAGAGTCAAGACCAGAATTCTTGGGCTGAACTTGCCCCCGTTGTGGAACGTCTCCATATATACATTCTTAGCACTTTTCAGAAGATGTGTCAGGAAGAAGTGTGACATTATCTAAACCTCCTTAATGTACTAGCTTCCCAGGAGTTGGGGTGGATGGGAGGGAATATTCAAGTACGCTATCCATCACCTGAAGTCTGCAACTCAATCAGACTGTCTACAGTTTTCAAACATCCAGCTGCTATTATCTTCCTCATTTACATTTCCCATTAGGGATGCAGCCTGAAGTGTGGAACATAATCAAAAATCACCCTCCATTTATGAAACAATACTTGAAAGGCTGGCCATGTGGATTTAGAATGGCATAATCAGCCTAATGATTTCAAAAACTGGTGTCCATTCTAAACAGTGTGTAGTGGTTCTAGGGGTTGCTCATGCGTAAGCCGGTGCAAACACCTGGCTGGGTTGCCTGAGTGAACCTTTTCTGTTCAGACAGCCACTCACCCATGGCTGTCTCAATCGCTGGCAGAATCCGTCAGTGGGCATTTCTTAAACTTCTTCCAGCAAAGAAGCTCTTTGACGCCTAGTCTCCTCCTACTCTCTCTGCGCGAAAGCCTTCTGTGCAAGGAGGGCGTAGGCAGCGGAGGACCTCTACTCTCCCCGCTGGTCCCTGGCAAGGAGTCATGGGACCGCCTCGCCGCTTCCCCCATCTGCCCCCCTTCTCCACTGGTGCTACGCTGATTCTCTTCCCCAGAAGATGGGCTGCCTCTCCCAATCCTGGGACGCTCTCTGGAATCCCTCTGGATTTTGCTCTCTCCCTCCGGCACTGATGGCAGTTCCCTGACACAGTGCAACACATTTTCTGATGAAATCTAGAAGGCCATCCAGAAAGTTGTGACTGCAACACTACATCTCCAATGAAGCACCTTCAGAACAAGGAGTAATCAGTGCATGATCCTAAGTCAACTCCCAATGCACACATGCAGGCTTCTTGTTAAGTCCAACCCAACATAGTTTGCTGCTTAAAGCAGCGAAGCAGATACCTCTCCCCGTATTTAAGGAGCATAATAACCAACACCAGATGTCCTTTTGGAACACCGCACAAACACATAACACAGTAAAAATACAATATTTTCTGTCCTCTCTCTCTCTCTCTCTTTAATTACCGGTAAATCTTTATTATTTTTTAAAATATACATTTATACAACATTTATACAACACTCTCTGTTTTTGTTTGTAACAAAAAAGAAAACGATGGCAACTGAAGCAAAGATACTTTGTATACCTCACAATACACATGACACTACAATTTATGGAAAAAAAGAAAAAAGAAATAAAAATAAAGAAGAAAAAGTAGTTGAGGTTTTAAAAAAGGGTTCCAAACATTCTCATTGTACGTTACCTGTTAAATACAGACCTAGACTGAGCCTTGTAGTATATAAAGGTAAATGACAATTTACATAGAAATTTGATTTAAAAAATAGAAGAAATAAGTAACTGTGTGGTAAAAGAATATTTTCTGTCCTCTCATGACATCCAAAATCCACTGCCTGAGGCCTGACCCACCCTGACTAATAGTAGGACCAGCAATCTGCATATGGGGTGTTAGGGGAAGGGTAGTACCTCTGCTGGAGGAGACTCTTGAGAGTCCCATGGACTGCAAGAAGATCAAACCTATCCATTCTGAAGGAAATCAGCCCTGAGTGCTCACTGGAAGGACAGATCGTGAAGCTGAGGCTCCAATACTTTGGCCACCTCATGAGAAGAGAAGACTCCCTGGAAAAGACCCTGATGTTGGGAAAGATGGAGGGCACAAGGAGAAGGGGACGACAGAGGACGAGATGGTTGGGCAGTGTTCTTAAAGCTACCAACATGAGTTTGACCAAACGGCGGGAGGCAGTGGAAGACAGGAGTGCCTGGCGTTCTCTGGTGCATGGGGTCACAAAGAGTTGGCTATGACTACATGACTAAAAAACAACAACAAAGTACCTTCTGGTATAGTTTGTCCACCTTTGCAGTCAGCTGTCACCTGTGACCCTTAGAAGCTATCAGTGTGTGGCAGCAGCCCACCTTCGGAAAACACCTTTGACTAGCAGGCTGAACCAGGTGAGAGTAGCTGATGGGTCTCAAACCCTTGGTCAGTTAGAGACTTCCCCTGCATTTGAAGACAGGCCTCAGCAGATTGAGTGGATAAGACCAATAGTGGGTCCAATGGTCAAGAAGGCGATTTCTGCACTTGTTGTAGAGGGAAGTGAGGGGCAGGTGGGGCTCTTCAAACTAGGAAGCTAGCCCTCTGCAGCCTTGGGGGATATCTTCAGGAGAAGAAAAGGCTAAGGAGTAAACATTACACAAATCTGGAGTCCCTTAGATGGTTGGACGGCACCAACATTATTTTTGAAATTTGTTTTCGCTTTTCAAATTTCTTCACTTCCTCCAGACTTCTGCTCTGCGTAACAATTTTCTTGATGAGGAGGTGTACAGAACTCAAGAGCTTGCTACTATTTTGCAACATTTCCACTGGTCTTGATCAAGGCATTGCCCAGCTGTAGATTTTGAAGGGACTTTTCTTCTTCTCTTGGACGAATGTAGCTACCTTTGCTTTTTTATGTGTGTTGGAGAACATGAGATGGAGAAAAATGGCAGACTATAGTTTGTAACATGGTTGGGAAAAGTGTGCCCCTTCCCTCCTCTGCTATTGTTGTATTCGTTGTCAAATAAATGAAAACCAATAAAAAATATTTTAAAACAAGAGAAAAATGTATACTACATGGGGCATGTCTTCATTTGCCCCAACAGTTGCTTGTCCCGTGCTGGTAAGAGGTGTCAGTGTCTTGTCATCAACTACTGTGTGAACCTATCTGGTTCCTCACTTCCCTACACTATAAATGAAGTCTGGCTTGACCCAGTTCCCCAGGACAGTTTCCCATGAATGGCAGACACTTCCCACTTCCCCAAATTTCGGGTTTTGAGGGTCCCTCCTCCAGCCCTTCCACCTGAGATCCTCTGAGGGTGATGTTGGGGACAGACAGCTGGTCCTTGTGGATGCAAAGCACATACAGGTCTGCTACTGACAGCAGCCAGATTAAAGTCCAGCCTCTGTGATTTATATTCCAGAAGGAGAAATCAGATTTTTCTGAAGGTGAAACAGGCAATCAGCCTGATTGCTAATTAGCACCTCGGCCTTAAAATGCTAGCATGGGTGATGTCAGGATGAAACCCTGCCTGTGCCAGTAGAGAGATACCTTAAGTGGCAGGCTAAAAGGCATTTTTTTCCCATTCAGGGAGGAAATAACGGTATTTCAGGTTGTCAGCGCTGTGATTGATCAGGGAGACATTATGCAGATAAGCTTTTTGCATTTTGGTTGACATTGTGCTGGAATTTACATCTTGCTGGGCTGAGTGTTTTGCAGACAGCTGGAAATAGGAATATACTATACCTTGAAGTGTATACCAGTGTCAGATTTGTTGGCTGCAATCCACCTCCCCCCCTTTGGGCTTGCAGAACAGCCTGCATTGTACTTTTCCTTTCCGACATGCCTCCCACATAAGGATTCATCCCAATTTATTGATTTCAGCAGTACTGGGCCCTTAAGCCAGGACAGGACTAGTTTCCTACTGCTGGAATCTGGCAGCTCAGGGAACAAAACTAGCATGGGTTATAGATGGAGCCTGGCAGTTCCTGGAGGGGGTGGGCAAAGATGAGCATCCTCAGAAGTTTGTTGGCTTTTCAGAAGAGATGGACCCTTCTTTGCAACTAAAGAAAACAAATGCCTTCTGAAAATGGCCCTCAGCTGTGCTTATATTTTGGGAGGAAACACAAATAGGGAGAGAAATGTTTGCCTGCTGATGGCTGCAGTGTGGTCCCTCACCCTCTCCTAATTCTTTCTTCACAAATGCTGTTACAAAAGGAGAGGAGCGGGAAATGCAACACTGCAGTGAAAAACGCATTTATTTTCTTTTTTACAAGAATGTTCTTTCTTGATACAACCTTCCTTTTGCTGGGTTGAAAACACCCCTGCAAAATGCTGGTTGCAGCTCTGCTTCTCAGACCTCCATATTGGTTTCATGACACAGAATGCATACCTCGGTTTGAACAATAAATTGTGGTTGGTTGACAGCAGTACTGCATTGGGAACAGTTCATAATACTCCTCTGGGTGGGGAGATCAGTATGTGCATATGTGTGCGCCAATTAAATGCACTGCACTCAAAGGAATCCTGAAGCAATTATGTGATCTGACTAAGATTTGCTTTTTGTTTAATGTTTTAATCAATGCACCATTACACTCATGCACATCAGGAAAAAGAAGCACCGGGCTGAAAACCGTAGCAAGTGACAGATGTCCAGTGCTTGGAACAAAGTGTAGACATCAGAAACAGAATTATGGTGAACCACTAATGTATCAGTGACACTCTGCAAACAAGAGTGCAGAATTCAGTCCCCTCAAATACAGGGAGAGAGTCAGATGGGAAGAACTTTGTAATAATTACATGGCATTTTGTGTGACTATTTATTTTGTCGTTTGTTTGTTTATTACAGTGGTACCTCTAGTTACGGACTTGATCCATTCCAGGGTGCCATTTGCACCCTGAAAAGTCCATAACTAGAGCGCCGCTTCTGCGCACACCTGTGCGGTGAAACCCGGAAGTATACACTTCCAGGTTTTCTGCGTTCACAAGCTGAAAAGATGCAACATGAACACGAGGTATGACTGTATAAGCATTCCACTCTTTAATGAAAGGTCACTGTGCCTTCAAAATAAAGTATAATACATTAAGGGCATATGGAAGTATTTAGCAGTCCCTGGCAACTGATGTCAGGGTCCAGGTTCCAGACTCTTCCCTCCAGAGGGTTGGGACAGTAGGATGTGCAGGTGGATTTATGAGACAGCTGGTGTTAAGATGCCTACTCACCGTTTGCTAGGCATCTAAACAGCTCCAAGATGAAGGTGTCTGGAGCAACAAAACATAATAGACAAAAGCATTTCCATTTGGTAAAGGGCGCAGTCACTGCCCTGGGTGAAAGCCTACAGTTTCCCTGAATATAAGGGTCCAAACTAAGTCAGCTGCACTTAGAACCCATTGAAATGTGAAAAAGTAGTCACCAAAGTCCCATTGATTTCAGTTGGGCTAAGTGTTATTCTGGATGAAGCTGAGAGTCAACCTCCCCTCCTTCTTAGCTTTCAGGAAGTAGCTTCCCTTTCTACACTAGAAAATTAAATGTGCAAATGTTTTTAATGTGTCTTTCCCCTTTGTAAAAAAAAACAAAAAACAGCTGAGAAGTGGGTGGGGGAGAGTATAATCAGGACATATGAGTAAAGGCAATAGAAAGTGATAGAACGCATTGCTACCGTTTGTGGAGTAGAAGGGAACAATGTTAAAGAATATAAAACTGTGTGGGGAAAACAACGGCGGTATAAACAGTACAATGAGAATGATTGGAAGACTCGTTTTGTCAGAAGTCTTTTTTTATTTAAGTGTTTATTTAAGTATTAATTAGGAAGATTAAGTTTTTTATGCACGTAAATCTGCTTTTCTTTCTTTTTTCTGTATTTTCTTCTTTTCTTTTTTCTTAATTCTTTTTTCTTTAATTTTCTTTTTGTAGTATGAGATTGTAAATTCTTTGTATATGTGTGTAGTTTAAATTAATAAAGTTTTTTTTTAAAAAAAAGAACACATTGCTTTGCATATAGAAGGTCTGACGCTCAGTCTCTTTCATCTCCAGGCAAATGGTAGGGAAGGGCCTTGTCTGAAATTCCGAAGAGCTTCTGCCAGCCAGACTAGACAATACTGGTGTCAGAGACATGGCCGGCAGAGAGGAGTCTGCAGAGAGGGAAGGAAGAGGCAGAAGAAAACAGGAACTTGATTCTTTTGCACAACAAAAGTGAAGTAAGCCCTTCTCGCTCTGGAATTTTCGCAGCAGCACAGAGATGCAGAAGCAGGAGACAGGTGGTAGGAGGGGGTTAGATTCAACTCCAGAGGAGGAGGAATTGGCTGCACCTGAGTCTCCAAGAAGTAGGAGGCGGAGCAAGCGATTACAGCAAAGGAAGACCAGCTGGAAGCTGAGGCGGGCCTGGGGTATATCTGGCTTTGGGAAGGGCAGGAAGCCAGTCAAGTCAACTGACTCCGACAGTGAGGAATGAGTTGTGGGAGGCTCGGATTGCTGAAAGTCTGTTATTGCTAAATAAACCTCAACTAGTAAAATTGCCAGGGATGCGGGTGGCGTCTAAACCACTGAGCTTGCCAATCAGAAGTTCAGTGGTTCGAATCCACGCGGTGGGTGAGCTCCCGTTGCTCGGTCCCATCTCCTGCCAACCTAGCAGTTCAAAAGCACACCAGTGCAAGTAGATAAATAGGTACCGCTCCGGCGGGAAGGTAAACAGTGTTTCTGTGCACTGCTCTGGTTTCGCCAGAAGCTGCTTAGTCATGCTGGCCACATGACCTGGAAAAACTGTTTGCAGAGCGGACAAACGCCAGCTCCCTCAGCCTGTAAAGCGAGATCAGTGCTGCAACCCCAGAGTCGTTCGTGACTGGACTTAACTGTCAGGGGTCCCTTTACCCTTTACCTTTAGTAAAACTGCCAGCATTCCGTGTCTTGTTTGAGAGAAGTGCTAAACCTGACAACTGGCCTTGATGAACCAATGTGCTGACTCTCTATAAGGCAGCTCTCTTTCCTCTTCTGCATCACAGCCATGATGAAAACCACAGACATATCCCAAAGCTGCTTCCATCCTTAAACCAATGGGAGTGTAGTGCTGGAGGGGGGGATTTTCCTCAGGATCTTGGCTCCTTCCCTATACACTCTGATAAATCCCTGATAAGCCTGCTAGCCACACAATTAATGTTTATTATTATTATTATTATTAGTTAAGAAAAAAGTTGCCTCGTTTTCTCTGCAGCTGGCAGGTATCTTAAGAGCATGGTTCTATTTTTGTGAATGTGTTTTAGATGCTAATGTGTAATGCAAAAGGGCAAAAAAAATACAATTTAGCTAACAAGATTAATTATAGCATTATAAAAATTCCTGATGAAGCATTTAAACTAAAATGTAAAAACTTTATCTCTGAGCTTTAGCAACTATAATAATTTGAAGCCATGATCATTAATTTTATTCCTTTGCTTTTCAAGAGTTAAGACTCTTAATAATGGGCAAAATGAAATGGAGATTTAAAAACAGAGCCTGCAGAAAAGCAATGCTGGATTGTTTTCCTAAAACAGCCTTTGCCCGGGCGTTTTGCAAAAAGCAAGTAAAAGGGGCACCTTTTTCTTATTTTGCCCATGTGCATTGCATGAGCAGATGGGGGCTGGAATACAAAAGGGAAGAAAATCAATAATGTAGCAATAGCAGCTAGGTATGCCTCAAGCATTTGAGTAGGGATGCTGAACCATATCAGCACCCATGCTCAAAGTTTTCCAAGTAGAACCAAAGTGAGCACAGAAAACCCACACAGAGAAACATGCAACGTGCCTATGTATGTGTGTGTGGAGGTGGTTGAATTCATATTGGTTCATAAATGGGCTGAACCATCTCCTGATTTTGCTGTTGTTGGAAAAAAAAATTACTTCCAAGTCAATCATTTGCAGCCTACCCATCCTGAGTACATCTTGCTCATGCAAAGCTGTCATTTGCGGCTTTATTTATATCCCCTTTTTGACCTCGGTCCTCAAAGCTACCAACAACACCCATGGATCCTGTTGACAGACGGCAGGTGTTCACTACCTGTATTTTCCAGAAGACATTTTTGTTGTTTCAATTGGCTTCTCCAGCTGAGTGGAAAGGTCTCTGCCTTTGGTGTTGATTTTATATTCTTAAAGCTATATTTAGTTATTCTTTTTTCTACTGTTTCTGGACTTTTAGACTGGTGGGATGGGCAATACTTATTTAATTGTTACTACTTTATGTATTTTTTGTATTGTAAACTGCCCTATGATCCTTGGATGAAGGGTATTATAACAACAACAAGAAGAACAACAACTTGAAATATTTAAATAATATCTTCTGACTTCAAATTCATTTTGTTAATTTTATCCATCCTTTCATTTTGTTAGGTTATCTCTCCTATCAGTAGCATCTTAATCCTGTTCCTGTCTTCTATGGTGTTAGCGACCACAGCCAGTTTGGTGCCATCTGTAGATTTGATGACCGTCCTTTGTCTAAGTCATTTACAAAGATGTTAACGTTGAATCTAGGACACAGCCTTGAGGCAGCCTACCTTCCATTTATCTCTAGGTTGACAACACACCATTGATTAGCATTGTTCCGGGTACAATTTGTCAACTGCCTAACAGTTGCATCATTTAGCTCACATTTCACCAGCTTGCCAACAAGAAGCCATGCTGATATCGAGACAATCTACATTGTTCTGATTTACCGAGCGAATGCTGCTATAGAAAAAGGAGACAGGTTTAGTCTGGCATTACTTGTTTGTCAGGAACCTGTGTTGCCACTTTGCTTCCCGTTGGTTTTTCTTAAAGGGGTTTATTTGCTGTGTTTTTTGTTGTTTTTAAATGACTGACTTCCTGTTTTATACCAACTTGTTTTACACAAACTTTTTGAAATGTTCCTGGTTATGTTTTCCGCTTCTGGTTGTTTTCTCCTGTAACTGTTTTAAGAAATATTTCAGTGGTTTTTAATGTACAGTGGTACCTCAGGTTAAGAACTTAATTCGTTCCGGAGGTCCGTTCTTAACCTGAAACTGTTCTTAACCCAAGGTACCACTTTAGGTAATGGGGCCTCCTGCTGCCGCTGCGCTGCTGCTGCACAATTTCTGTTCTCATCCTGAAGCAAAGTTCTTAACCTGAGCTACTATTTCTGGATTAGTGGAGTCTGTAACCTGAAGTGTCTGTAACCTAAAGATTCTGTAACCCAAGGTACTACTGTATTTTATAATGTATTATATCTTCTTCTTTGGCGATCACTCGTAGTGAAGTAAGATTGTCTTCCATGAACACGGTCTTAACAGTGAGTCCGTAAGTGACTGTGGAGGCCAATTCTGGATTATATTGTTGTTGTTGTTGTTGTTGTTTAGTCGTTTAGTTGTGTCCAGCTCTTTGTGACCCCATGGACTAGAGCATGCCAGGCACTCCTGTCTTCCACTGCCTCCTGCAGTTTGGTCAAACTCATGTTGGTAGCTTCGAGAACACTGTCCAACCATCTTGTCCTCTGTCGTCCCCATCTCCTTGTGCCCTCAGTCTTTCCCAACATTAGGGTCTTTTCCAGGGAGTCTTCTCTTCTCATGAGGTGGCCAAAGTATTGGAGCCTCAGCTTCAGGATCTGTCCTTCCAGTGAGCACTCAGGGCTGATTTCCTTCAGAATTGAGAGGTTTGATCTTCTTGCAGTCCATGGGACTCTCAAGAGTCTCCTCCAGCACCATAAATCAAAAGCATCATATATATAACCCTTCTTGAGACAGCTAAACTCTAAAAGGTGTCGTAAAAATACTTTTATAAAGAGTCACAGTGTTTTTAATCCCCAAATGCTCACAATTTGACTGCTTAATGGCTTTTTCTAAGAGTTCTCCAGGTGTCAAAGGGAAACTGACCAGACAGCAGTTTCCTGAATCCTCATCTCCAACCCACCTTTTGAAGATGGTGACATTTGCCCATTTCCTGTTCTTCAAGAATTTTCAAAAAGGATAACCAAGAATACATAAGCATTTTCATTTGGCATCTCAGGAAGCAATCCATCCAGCCTTGAAGATTTCAATTTATTTAGAGTGTGTAACTGCTCCTTCACCACCTCTTTATTTATCTTGAGCTGCAGCTCCTTCACTTCATCACTAGATTTATTTCTCCCAGGTTGGGCAGATTCCTTTGTGGGAATGCAAAGTAGGAGCCGAGTGGTTTGTCCTCCTTCATGGTTGCTTCCAGTTTATACAAGGTTTACACAAAGCAGGGAGATTATATAATGATGGCTGTTTGTTGAGCGTCCATTCTGATTTGTTTGCTTGGAGGTTGCATGAGAAAGTTTCAAGCAACTGCTGGCCTGAACTTTCCAGTGCATTTTCTCACCACTTTCCTTACTGCAAAAAGGGAAATTTGTTGTCAAAGGCCTCAAATCCTGTTTAACTGCACAGTCTGAATTTGCTGGTATGCACTGAGACCCACTCACAAATAGTCTGGAGGCACCTTCTGTTCCCTTTCTTCTATATTCATGGGACCTACTAATCCCTTGTTTTTACTCGGCCTCTGAAACAAAGCTTTAAATGCCTGCAGAACCTTAGGCCTGAGGGCCAAATGTAGCTGTTCAGGCCTCTCTATCTGGCCCTTGAAACCCTCCTCAGGCCACACCCCTCAGTGTGGAGCTAAGAATGCAAAGGTTGTAGGTTCGATCCCTGTAAGGGACAGCTGCATATTCCTGCATCACAAGGGGCTGGACTAGGTAATCCTCAGAGTCCCTTCCAACTCTATGATCCTTCATAATCCATGTTTTCTTCCTGGCTAGAAAGCATCTTTGAACTTTTGTTATTCCTCTTGTTTGTCCGGATGGAGGGCAGGTGTGTACATGAATGTAAAACTAGCCTACTTGCTGTTCTGCCCACTTTGCCTCTTGCCCATTCCCATCATTTGCACGGGGCCCTCAGATAGTTGACAAGAAGGAAATATGGCCCCTGGCCTGAAACAGCTTCTCCACCCCTGCCCTGACCCTCCTTCTGTTTCCTATACATGCATCTTTTCAACCTGAGCTCATCTGAAAACTTCTCATGCATGCAGCCATCCAGATTTCCTTAGATGACTTTCAGTTTCTTCCTCACCGGAATTGTTTGTGATTGTTCTTTTAAGAAATACCAAACCATCCCAAATTCCCTCCTTGAATCTTTCAAACCACCATACCTCGTTCGTGCAGTTCTTGATGAAAAGTCCATGTTGCATGTCTGATTGTGTCCACTTTCCCATTTCTTCAGTATCATTCATCCAAGATTCCCATACCATCAAGCAGTTCTTCTGTGATGAGAATCTGATCTAAGACAGCCAATTCCCTTGTCTCTTTTCCCACCCTCTTGGAGATGAAATTGTCAGCAAGGCAAGTCAGGAATTTATTAGATTTTTTTCATTCTTAGCAGACTTCAATTTCCAACAGGAATCAAAGTAGCTGAAGACTACTGTATCTCCCCTTTTCGATAGTTTCGGTAATTTAATCTAGTAAAGTATCATCCAAGAAGACTAGATTAGATTTCCAAACTGTAGCAGA